AGAATTCATAGATAGATATATATAAAATATACATATTATAATGCTATATATACGCCTTATACATTATTACATGTATATGTATATATACATTATATATATATTAATATATATATACATATTTAGATAAGCCGAATATATATATAATGTTATATATAATATTATAGTATAACCGGTTATATATAATTAATATATATAATATATATATATATATATTATATTACTATATATATGCATGTATATGTATATAAATTATTATATTAATAATATATATATATATATATATATACTCATTATATGATATAGTATATATGTGCATATGTTATACATATTTTTATGTATTTGCATGTGCATATATTATACTTATGTATATATAATTATCTATGCACAGTTGCAGAGCGCTATACCCCATGCACACGCGCCTCCGCGCCCCGCCCGCCGAGCGCTCCCGCCCCAGGACCGCCTCCCAGCAGCGGCGGCCGCAAAAATTACAGTGCTGGTGAAGTACCCCATTGGCGCACACAGAGCAGCTGTCAACAGACTGTAAAATTGCAACCTGCGGGTAATCGCATTATAGTTCGCTAATTTGTGGGGTGTAGCCTGACCCCCCCTGCCGGGCCCCGCACCTCCATCTGATACTGTTTCCGACGGTACCCAGCTTTAAATGGCCCGCCGTGCGCCTCCGTTTCTCAGATGTTGTCGTTCAGTCCGATTCCGAGGAGTCCATTTCTGTATATATCTACAGAGGACGTTTTGATCCGAAAACTTTGGGAAAACTCATCGATTTGAAGGAAAACGGCAGCGGGAAGAGTTGAACAGCGCACGCCCTTGAGTTCCTCGTTCGCAACACCGCCCTTAGGCTTAGCATTTGGTCGTTGGCTCTCGAGTTTCAGTAAGTTTTGGAGAGGAAGCTCCTCTCATCTTAGCGACGTTTAAAACTGAAACAGTTCTTTTAAGAACAAAGTTGGAGAAAAGGAGCGATGCTCGTGCTGGCAATGGCGTAAACCCCCAGCGGGCCAGGCAGGGGACCTTTGTTTGTGTGCACGCATTATCGCACCGCTTGTCAGGCCTCCTCGAGGGATGCCGCCACTTTCAAGCACTGATGGCACTCGGCGGTCGCAGCCTCGTCGCCATAGAACCAAAATCGCCTCTGGAACTCTATTCAGTACGAATACGAAATGGTTTAATAAAACGAACAACAAAATAATGAATGGTACGTTTTTCCATAACTACCTTCGGCAAGCTGAACGACGGGCGGGCCGCGCTCGACGGCCAGATTTGAAACAACCGACGAAGCTTAGAGGAAAAGGCCGCGTGAGCGAGGGGACACGGGCTTTTTGTCACCCAAACAGCTGCTGCCCAAAACAATCGGGCCATGTTGAGTGCCCGTCATCGCCGTACCCGGAGCCGACCCACTAAATTGCCCAAAATGTTCATAATCATCGCAGTCCGGACTGGGAGAATAACCCTTCGGCCCTTGAGGAAAAACGACCTGCGTAAGAAAGGACGTTACTTCCCGGAGCCGGAGGAGCGCCAGGCACAGGAGCCCGACCCCCTCGCGTTTCTCCCCCCCCCTGCCCGGACAACGCTGTAGCAATCAACAGAAGCGTATACCTGGGCCACTGCGACGCATTTCGGTTCCTCACGTCTCGAAAAAGCTTTTGGCAACTTCGCGGCGTTTGTTTTTGATTGGCGGACTGTGATAGACGGTCCAGTGGGATCACTTTGGGACCTTCGGGAGCAAGGGACTATTGGGTCCAGAGGCACAGGTACAGCGTCAGGCAATCATTATTCCCGGCCCTTTAATCTTATTGATTATTAGATGGCACACATTAATTTTTATATGCAAATCTTTAAAGGATATTGACATTAGTGTATATATGTATATATATATATATATATATATATATATATTATATTTATATATAATATATATTATATGTGTTGTGTGGTGTGTGGTGTTTGGTGTGTGTGTGTGTGGTGGTGTATGTGTGTGTGTGTGTGTGTGTGTGTGTGTGTGTATACACACACATATTATACATAATTACTTATATACTTGTTCGTGTTTGTGTATACACACACACACACAGATACAGTAATATATATAATATATATATATATTATGATATTATATATGTATATATATAAATATATATGTATTGTATACATATAGATATATACAATACATACTCACACACACACACACACAACACGACACACAACACACACAACACACACACCACACAACACACACCATATATATATATATATATTATATATATATATATTATATATACATAATATATAGTATTTATTGTATATATATGCATGCATATATATATATATCATATATATATATATATATATATATAATATATAATTATATTATATATATATATATTATACAACCAGACAGACATTCACTAATAATAATAATAATATGGCTAATAATGATGATAATGACAATAATGATAATGATAACGATAGTGATAATGATGAAAATAATAATAGTAATAATAATAATAATATGATAATAAAATAATAACAATAATTGATAATGACAATGATAATATAATGATAATGATGAATAATATGATAAAAAAATAGTAATAACAATGATTATGGTAATGATGATGATAACAATAACGATAACAAAATTATGCTAAAATCAATAATGGTAATGGTAACAATAATGATATTAATAATGAATATGACAATATATGTAAAAATGGAAATATTAATCATAATAAACATATTGATGACAATAAATGATATAATAATGATAATGATAATAATAATAATCAAATATAATGATGAAAAAACATGATGATGATGATAATAATAATAATAATAAATAATATTAATAATGAATAATAAATGATAATGAATAATAATACTAATTAATCTAATATAATATAATAATAATATATAATAATAATTATATAATGAATAATAATAATAATAATATGATGAATAATAATGATTATAGAGCATAATGATAATACACTAAATGACATGCTAGAATGAATTGATTAATGATAATGATAGAAATGTGAAGAACATAATGATACAAGTATATATAGTACTATAATTAATAAAATAATAATAATTCAATGTTATTGCGACAATTGTAAAAGTATTGAATGTAAGTGATATGTTAGCATAATAGATAAGTAATAATATAATGAATATACATAATAATATGATGATGATGTATAGTAATGATGATGATTAATAACAATATAATAAACAATTTATAATAAATGATATAATAATAATATAATAATAATAAATGAATAATAATAATAATAATAATAGTAATATGAAATAAATAATAATAATATAATGATAATAATATAGATAATAAAGAATTATAATAATGCACAGTAGCTAGTAGAAGTAATAACAATATTGATGGATAATAAATATAATGTGGATGAATAATATACATTGATAAAATGATATTCTGATATATAATAATAATAATAATATAATAATAATAATATAATAATAATGATTAATGAATAATAATAATAATAATAATAAATATAATAATAATAATAATATAACGATGAATAATATAACGATGATGATGATGATGAGATGATAATGATGATGATAATAATGATAGTAGTAATAATTATTATAATAATGATAATAAATAATATAATGATAATGATAACAATAATGATAGAAATATAAGGTATAATAATATAATAATAATAATAATAATAAAATAATAATAATAATAATAATAGATAATAATAATAATAAATAATAATAATAATATATAATAATAAATGATAATGATAATAATGATAATAAATAATATGATAATAATGAATATAATAATGATTAATAATATGAATGAATATTAATGTTGATAATAATAAATGATAGATAAGTTGATATGTAATAGTAACAAAGATAAAACAATGATAAAATAACAGTTATGATAGTAACAATAACAATGAAATAATTATGATAAGAATATAAAATGTGAAATAATAATGAATAAATTATATCATTATTAAATGATTATATTATTTATATTATATTATTATTATTATTATTATTATAGTAAATATAACAATAATAGTAATAATGGAGCTACTGCTGATAAACATATTCATCATCATAGTAATGAGGATAATTACAACAATTTCTCAGCTTGCTCTTCTAATTAGAAATAATACTCTATGCTCTCTCTTTATTCTCAAACTTAAGCGTGTAGATATTATTGGACTTCTCTGTAATTTTCTACAGAAACTGTTAGAACAAGGTTTTGAGGACGTGCTATAATTATAATAAAAATACAAAGGCTTTGGATTGTACTACACCTCTATTGTAACTACAGTTGCTGAATCTCCGGATAGAAACAAACGCTGTTATCCCCAAACGTAGGAAATTTCTGTATATGTTAGTCTAGAATTATTCATCATACCCTGTTCGTTGTACTGGCCAGTTTCCCAGACTTTGAAATTTTGGGTGACACTTATTTGGAAATTTTGCTTTTGTTGTGTTTTCCATACACAAAAAGATGAATAAATGAATAACTAAAACGTATTTTCCAATATTGTGATCAGTCATTCCATCAGGTACTGTATGGATTTATTAAAAAGCATAATTATGATTAATTTCTTATGCTGAGATAATAGGTATACCCTTAGTATCTACGGCCTGTAAGCTTATTTTGTATTTCATGTAAAAGTTATTGTAATCTGAAGCATCCATCGCATTTTCCGGGATTGTTTTTTTTTTTTTTTTTTATTATGATTCATTACCGTTTTTTTTTTTTTTTTTTTTTTAGAGTCAGACAAGAAAAATTTAACAAAAATTATTTTGTGAACAGGAAATTATTCGTTTCAAATTTTTTCATTTAGCTTCATTTTTGTATTTATCTTGTTTCCTGGTTCTTGTTCATCATATATTTTTTTTTATAACAGTCTGGGGATTTGCAGCAGTGTTTTCTTTCTTTCTTCCATTCTCTTCTGTCTATTTTTATTAATTTATGATGATTTTATTAAGGATTCTATTCATATTGATAATCACCATAATTTATGATACTGAGAAGTGAGTGATATGGAGAACAGTAATGATATTAATAATAATGATAAAACTAATAATAATCGCAACAGTGAATGATAACATTTGATGATAATAGTGTCAATAGTAATAATGATGATGGTAACTACTACATTACGATCATATCTATCAGTACACATAGCACTGGTACTTTCATCATTATGATTTCTCTCAACATCACCACTATCATCATCCTTATATTTTCGGTTTGCATTACTGATAGTTATGGCAGGAAGTCTTGGTAAAAAAAATTGTGGTATAGCATTGATATATAGTTAATTTATATCTATCTCACCATTAAAGTCATACTCTTATTCCTGCCTCTTTTCTCTGTGTGTTTTTTTTTTGTGTGTATGTGTGTGTGTGTGTGTGTGTGTGTGTGTGTGTGTGTGTGTGTGTGTGTGTGTGTGTGTGTGTGTGTGTGTGTGTGTGTGTGTGTGTGTGTGTGTGTGTTATTAACATAAAATTGTTATTCTCCAAGTTCAAATATTCCCTGTGAAGAAAGCCTAGGTACTATTAAAAATTTATTGAAATAGATGACGATGTAAGGATTGTTGTCAAAAAGGCCTGAAGAATATAAGCAGCTGTACACAAACAAATACAAACAAAAATACAACAAAATACAAACTGCTGTATCTCTTTTGCTTTCTGTTTTTCTGGCTGACAAGGAGTTCCCATGAGCTAAAGTTTTGCTCCTAATCTTGTCTAAACATTTTCAAGGCACGATATCTCCACCACGGAACATTTTTCTTTCTTTCTTCATTCCTCCCTTTTTTCTTTCTCGTTTTACGACTCGAAAGCAAAAATCGTTCGACGGAGCCAGTCCCCGGAGCGTCCCGGCCACGAGTTCGGCCCCGCCCTCCGCGCAGTGGGCGGCGGGCGCTATCTCTTTGGCTGCATCGGCCCTCGCTATCTGGCCGCTCGACAAAGGGGAAACATGATAGCGAGCTCGATCACCGCCCTATCGACAGCGCCGGATGTTTATGAGGTTCGGATTACCGCTCCTTCGCCGACACAGATGTAAACAACATTCCCGGGAGGTCCGGCTGGGCCCCTTTGTCGTCTCCCGTCATTAAAGTTTGGCAGATTTTGGCAATGGTTTTCTGATAACTGAAGTGGGAAGGAGAGAAAGGCGCGCCGCGCAAGATCGTGTGAGCGATCCGGGAGGTGATACAAACACCTGTGGCCTGCATAGATCGTGGCAATTTTTTCTCTCCTTTTTTTACCAGGCTCTTGAGTCACTGGTGGGGATTATCTAAGTCATCCCTTGCAATATGGACTTGATAGAAAATGGGATATCAGGTGATAAAATCATGCAATGTGGATTTACGTTTGTATTCTGTGTTTCTCATGCATTGTCTTCATTTGTATTTCCTTAACGTATTTTTAATTTCCTAATTTTCTGGTGATCATCGGGTTTTGAATAAAACACTCGTAATTCCCTTTGGATAGTATATTACAAAACAATAGTATTTTAACATGTCAGCATTACGGCGAGGCTTCCTCAGCCACAGTTAGCCGCAGACAGGATTGTATTGAAGCATTTTAAGTACATATTTTTTAGTTAAACACATAATAAAAGAGCCAACAGTCGCGTTCTGGTGCTGACTGAGAACAAATATAATCTACATAAAACATTTTCCTGAAGGTACAGACTATATACAATGTACTGTTGACAGAGTCCCTAAATGCTGGCAGAATTGGGGCCAGTTTCAAACATCCCCCGGGGTTTATTACTAATATTTGGCAGGTTGATAATAATGATAAAACTTATCTTAAAATTATTAGAGACGGGAATGGTAATTTGCAACGGAAAGAGAAGAAGAGGAAGAGGAAGAAAGAGGGGGGGGGTCCCTTGCCCTTGATTGCAGAGATGTCCTTGTCCAGCAACAGAATGGTGAGTGGAAAGCTTTAGTTATGCTAAATAGCTTTCAATCAAGAGACCATCGTTCTCTCTCTCTCTCTCTCTCGCTCTTTCGCTTCTCTCTCTCTCTCTCTCTCTCTCTCTCTCTCTCTCTCTCTCTCTTCCTCTCTCTCTCTCTCTCTCTCTCTCTCTCTCTCTCTCTCTCTCTCCTCTTCTCTTTCTCTCTCTCTTAATTCTTTCCTCCTCCCTCTCCCCCTATGCACGCTTGCCATATTGCACTAACATACACATGACAATGAGATTAAACCGAACGACACGTCACTATGGGTTGGAGTTACCCCTGAGTACACCAAGGTTATTTTTACTATGTACACAAAGAGATATTTACGTACATCAACACTGAAGACACAGTTCGGAGTGCACCCGCGCATGTTTACAACGCCATTCCTGAAAATTTTCTTTTACAGTTTACCCGAATGTAATGAAAGGCCACATTCACTGGTCCGAAAAAACAACTAATAATGAATAAATATTTAGGAGAAAAAATATATATATGCGATTCCCATAGACTGCCAGCACGCTGAATATTTTTAAACGTTTCTTTCAGCTGTAGACAGCCATATTCCGACAGCTTTAGACAGCTTTACAATATGTACAGGAGGAATCAATTAAATATTAATTAATTACCCTGTGATAACTCTAGACCCGACGGCTACAGTTAATAAAGGCTTCGTGAAAGACGAATCACACAACATAGAGAGATCAAGGCCCTCTTGCCTGCCCGGCTTGCCACACTCAGAAGGGATCGGACACCATCACGTGGACAGGCGGGGAGAGGAGGCCGGCTGAGCGGTGGCGAGCGAAGTGCTGTGGCAAGAGGGCTGACATGGGCGGCATCAGACTGTGCACATTTGCTCCGTTAATCCCTGGGCGTGCAGGTGGCCGCTAGGTTATCCTCCCCCTCCCCTCCCCCCTTAATACCCTCGCTAGCTGACCCTCCAGTTCTTTCTACTCTCCTTCACTTCACTTCACTTCACCGCCTGTTCCGCGGAGACAGGGCGGCGTCTTCTTTCGCTTCGCGCGAGGAAAGATGTTGACGGACACCGTCGAAGGAGGTAGCGAGTCGAGGACGACAACCCGGAGAAACCCATCTGGCTCCTGAGAGCTCACCGCGAGTGAGCGAGGAGAGAGTGGCGGCCCTTTCACCCGGCGTCGCTCCGCCGGCCGGCGTCGAGCCCCGGCGTCGCTCGGCGTTCACCCGCTCCTGTGAGGCCAAATGTCCTCCGCCGCCAGCGTGGCAGAGACCCGCGGGCCGGCGGTGGGCGGCTCTGAGTACGGTCCAGCGCGACGCCCTTGGCAGGCTGGCAGGGCGACCCGTCGGCGCCCTGCAGCGGCGGCCCCGTCGGCGCTGGGCGGCAGCAGCGGTGACGCGGACAGCTTTCAGAGGACCTGGAACTTCTCCCCGAAGTCCATGCAGTCTTGCGATCCGGGGGCCGTGACTCCCTGCACGGGCGTGACGGCGGCGGGCCGCGTGTAGTGCTGACTGCTCATCATGCTGTGGGAGCCCATCATGTGGCCGCCCATCTGCTGGAAGCCGCCCATGTGGTTACTGACGGGCGTGAACTGTGCGTGGGCGCCCATGTGGTGGGGCAGGTATTCCATGCTCATGTTGCCGTAGTAGGAAGCGGGGCCGTAGTTCTGGTTCCATGAGGACCCCGGGCTCTTGCTGCTCGCCATGTGGTACGAGGGCGTCTGCATGCAGTTGGCGGTGGACACGTGCAGGTCGCCCATGGGCCGCAGGCCGGCGGGCGCCCACAGCGAGGAGTAGCTGTTGGTGTGGTCCGTCGTTGCCGGGGCCGACTGGAAGGAGCCGTAGGTGTGTGTGGGCGTGGGCGTGGGCGTGGTGTTGGGCGGCGTGTGTGCTGAGGCGGGGGACACTGACGGAGGCTTGTAGGCGGGCGAGGCGGGGCGCGGGGAGCTCTTGATGACGGGCGGGGGCGGCGAGGGCGTGCTGGGGCTCTTGATCTTCTTGGGGCGCGGGGCGGCGGCCTTGGTGCTGTCGTTGTTGTTGGCTGCGGGCGTGGTGGTGATGGTGGTGGCCGTGCCGTTGGTGCTGCTCGTGCTGGTGGTGGTGGTGGTGGCGCTCGACCCGTTCTGGCTGTTCTGCTGCGCCTGCTGCCGGCACTTGGCGCGGCGGTTCTTGAACCACACCTGGAGAGGAGGAGAGAGCGCTGTTAGTCATAGTTGCCCAAAGGTATTCACCAACAGCCATTACCTCTCCAACATGCCTATTTCCAAATAAAAATCATACAAATACGAAGAAAGAGTGAGAGATTTACCCCCACCCCCCTTGGCCCAATCCCCATTCCGCCTGTCAGTAGTAAGGTCACTTAATCTACCAGATTAACCTTTAACCCGCCCAGGTACCTTTCCCTCTCAAAATAGCCCGGGGAGGGGAGGGGGGGGGGGGGTGGGTACCAGATGGTTCAAAGCCTACTAAATCCTGCCCGTGAAACCCCTCGAACCTCCACAGACAGATGAAATGTCGACACGCTTCACAAGATGTTTATTCTTAAAAAAAGATGTTCTTGTTCTTCATACTATTCTTGGCCATTTAAAAAAAAAAAAAAAAAAAAAAGTAGAAACAATTACAGCAGTTCTCGCCCTCATTAAATACAATCTTTTCGCCCGACGTCCGCGCCACCCATGTTGTAATAACCCGACCCACAATGACTTCGACGATGATAACAAGGTAACAATAGAAATGAAGTTAATAGTGACGCCCACAACAGCCCCGGTCATTACGAGTTTCTCCCTGTTTACGTGCCTTTGTGTCGCTTTTCATCTTTCTCTCTCACGCCCTCTCTTCCATAATGCCTGAGTCATCCAACAGGCCCGAGATGATCAGGTGGGATTCCCTCTGCGGGAGACGCACCGGAGGCTGAGTATGGGGGGAGGGGGGGAGGGGAGTGGAAGGGAGTGGAGGGAGTAGAGTTCGAAAACAGTGAAAAAGGAAAGTTGTACATGCACTTCATTTTTGGGCCAAAAAATAGACTCCCCAATTTTTTTCTATCGTTTTTTGTACCACGGATGAAAACAGGAAATTCTTGATGATGCATCAACGACAGCATGCGAGACTAAGACCAGCAAGTGCGGGAAGAAGAATTCGGCGTTAATTCACAATTCGTGGCCTAACAAAGAGCAGTTCATATGGTACTCTACTCAAACTTCTGTCACAACAACGCATCCCGGCGGACCGAAGGCTCTTAAAAGTTTCCTCTCCCTCCGTTCCCACGCCGACGGGAGCCCCTCTCCGCCAGCCTCTCCTGCGCCGAGGTCATCCTTTCGGAAACAAGGCTAGGTCAGAAGCCGGAAGCGCGGGGGCGTGCGGGGGGGATAAAGGCATTAGATTATTTCCCTTTGTCTATAACGGCACACAGTCGGTGATAAACAGCTCAGCACGCAAGGAATATTGGCACAACAAGCGTGACCAATTCCCCCGGTGCTCGTGGCCGGCACGTGACCGGCACGGCGCCGCGGTGCTCGAGTGTTATCCTTTTCCGGCCGCCTCCGCCAGCCGCCAGCCAGCCTCTCCCTCCTCCTCTTCCCTCACATATGTCACCTTCCACGCCGGATCGATCGGGAATTCGGAAGCTAGCGAAGGAAATTCTTAAATTTGCGCCACTTAGAGCAAGGAAGCGGAGGAGTGCGTCGAAAGGGGAACCAGCGGCCAGGTTGCACTTTCCCGCGAGGCGCTAAATGAGCAGAAAATAGGCGTAACGGCCTCGGGCGGGGAAATGGATACAATGAATACGTGATGATGGGGGGAACCAGCGACAAGGGGACGCACTCTCCCCTCAATAGGACCGCAAAGAGAACACGGAACAAGGGTCTCGACAGGGGGGAAGGGGAGGCGAGGGTGCGGGCTGGCGGGGAAGAGGGCGATTGAGGGAAATTGAAACAGATGGATCTGATGGAGGAGGCTGCCATGTCTCTCTCCTTTGGCTCTCATCCTTCTAATTTTTCCATGCCCTTTCAACAACCGACCTTGCCCATGGCACCATGAAAGTAACCCAGGAAACGCGCGCCCTCGGCTTCGGAGCGTCGAAAGGAAGCGCTCCCTCCAGGCGGTCGGCCCTTCGCCGGGAGGAGACCAATGTAAATCAAATTACTCTCCCCTCCGGAGTGTTGGTAAGCTAATATAGAGGGTAATAGAGCAATGTCAACTCTGGGAGGTGAGTTGTGATTGCTTAATGGGAAACAGAGACTGTGTCAACAACTGAGGTGGGAAAGCAAATAACCTGCAGTGACGGCTAAGGGGGAACTTAAGTAAAGACACTAGTACGAGGCACTCAGTATCGCAGGCTGGAGAGGCCCGAGACACGTGGCCCCGGGAGCAGGAGTCTCCGGGCTGCCGTGAGAAGGAAAATATTCCAAGGCGCCGCTCGGATATCAACCCTTCATTTATTATGATCATGTACGCCCTAACAATCTCTTTCCTGAGTAATTACGGTGTAACTCACACGGCGTGGGCAGCCATGTGCTAATGTGCTGCGGCGAAAGAAAAGAGCTCAGAATAAAAAAGAAAAAAAAAGGAGTGCCGAGAAGGTGATTACAATCCCACGCCTTGAAGACCCAGTGGACGAAATATTTATACAAAGAGTCTTTTCAGCGAGGCCCACAATGCCCGTGTCCCGGTATTCATTTGCCTCCGCGCTCGCTTCTCTTTGTGACGTGAACGAAAATGGAAAAAATAGAGAGAGAAGGAGAAAAAAATCTTCAGGCAGGCGCCGGTGTGGAAAACATGCCGAGTAAGACGCCCTAATTACTATCACGGAGGTACGGAGGTGGCGGTTGTGGCTAGCTCTTCCTCGCTCCGTACGGCCTCGCGTCCCATTTGGAAACGTTTCAGAAATTTCTATTTGATGGCGTGCATGGAGCCAGGGGGAATATGGGGCGATATGCAGTTAATGATGAAAGGATGCGGTTCGCTCGCTGATGTTAGCCGAGATGGAGATTAAGTTCCCTAATTACTATTGTCATATCACAAGAGAGTCACGCCTCATGTGCCGACTCAGTGACGGTCATGAGGAATAATCTGAGCCATGATTAATAGCCAGACCCGCCGCCGAGACCTGCTGAGGCGCAGCCCTTCCTCCCGGACCTCCAGGCTAAATCGCTGCTTCTTCAGGAGCTTCCTCATTTATTTAGCAAAGAAACTGATATCACACAAATATATATATATATATATATTATATATATATATATATATATATATATATATATATATATATATATGTATGGCTAAATCGCGGCTTCTTCAGGAGCTTCCTCAATTATTTAGCAAAGAAACTGATATGCACACACATATATATATATATATATAATATTATATATATATATATATATATATATATATATATATTATATATATGTATATATATATATATATATATATATATATATATATATATATATATATATATATATATATATATATATATACATATACAGTAAATATGTGTATGTTACTACAGCAACATAATGACATCATGAGCAAAAACTCCGAGGAACCAACCTGCACGACTTTCCGGGAGAATCTTGATGGCGACTTCTTCCCGCATGAAGATGTCAGGGTAGCGGGTCTTGGCGAAGAGCGACTCCAGGACGTCGAGCTGAGCCCTGGTGAAGGTGGTCCTCTCCCGCCGCTGCTTCCTGGCAGGGGCGGGCGTCACTGTGGAGAAGGATGTCCATGAGTTACCTGGCGGGAGGGAGCGGGGAAGGTGGTTAAAGGAAGGGGTGGCTGGCCGTCCAAGCGGCGCTCGCGCTGCTGCGCTTGGACTATATATTGCACAGCGTATTCACAGCGAATTTGGCATGCTTGCGCAGTCAAGGACATGCACACATTTCACTTATAAATAAATATATGTAAACATGAATATATATGCATAAACCTACACACACACCACACATACACACACACACATATATATATACATATATATGTGTGTGTGTGTGTGTGTGTGTATCCTACACATGGTATATTTGCATATATACTGCTCTATCTATATCTCATTATATTCATGAAGAGCGGACTTTGATTTCTTACCGGCAGGATAGGGGACCGAAGGGTGGACCCCGTGATCCATGGGCGAGTGGTGACCCATTCCGAGGCGAGGCGTTCATGGGTACGGGGGCTCTTGAGGTAGGCCATCCCCCCTAGACCCCTGGGTCCCGAGGTTCCGTGGTTACGCCTCTGGCGCCTTCCTGGGGGAGGGAGGCGGTTAGCCAGCAGCAGCGAGCAAAGCAGGCATATATATATAAATAAATATAATATATAATAATATAATAATATATATATATATATATATATATATATATATATATATATATTATATATTATATATATATATACACACACACACACACACATTGTATGTATGTATATGCAGATAACTAAATAATATAGATAATAAATAAATAAATAAATAAGTAAATATATATATATATATATATATATATATATATATATATATATATATTATATATAGTATATATAAATTGTATATATGTAATATACTAATAAATATATATATATATATATATATATATATATATATATATATATATATATATATATATATATATATATATATATATATATATATATATATATATATATATATATATATATATATATATATATATATATATATATATTATATATATATATATTTACATATTCATTGCACGATACATGCTCACACGTGTGAGTGGGCGCCCTCCCGCACGCACATTTCCTCCCGCCCCGAGTCATCATGATGATGAGCAGCGTGTAACAACATCCCCGAGACATGAGCCCGAGCACAACAAGCGGGCGGGCGGGCGGGCGGGCGAGGCGACGGGCGGAGAAGCCCCGCGCCGCTGCCCGACACCGACCGCGACACCGACTCGAAATGTTGCTAAGGACGGCGCTGCAACCTCTTCCCTTGCATTCCCATCATCAGATCACCGCCACAACAGTTCGAACACGAGAGAAAGTGGTTTCTGACGATGTTTTCTACATTTTCTCGCCTCGATTCCGGACTTGAACTCGGGCCAGCGACCGCCGCTCAGCTGACTGGCCGCCGCGCGACGCCTCCCAAGCCGCCGACGCCGCGGAGGAGAAGCCCGTGAATTCCCCTTCTAAGGAACTTTATTTCCGTGTATTGTTTCCGCGTCACACGATACCTTGAGAAGACTGTCGAACCCAGCCAAGGAAGGAAGGAAGGAGAGAGAGAGAGAGAGAGAGAGAGAGAGAGAGAGAGAGAGAGAGAGAGAGAGAGAGAGAGAGAGAGACGGATAAATTATATAACCAAAACATGTTCTTATTTTCCCGCAAACATGAAAAAAGCATGACAACCTATGACAGAGACAGGCATAGAGATAATGAGAAAAACAGAAAGAGAGCGAGAAAGAAAGAGAGAGAGAAAAAAAAGAGAGAGTGAGTAAAAAAAAAAAAATGATTGGAAATTGACACCAGCGCCTGTAGCAAACACCAAGAAGAAACCATATCAGCCTCATACGATGACCGCCACGTGATGTTACAGAACTGAGGTGTTGATTGGCAGTCTAATGAACCCCCGTCGTATAGAATTTGTTTCGGAAGACTAATAATGCTGCTTATAATGATGAAAATAATAATAACAGTACTAATGTGATGAAAAATAACGATAGTACCGATAGTAGTAACAAGGATGTTAATAATAATAATAATAACGATGAAGTGATAACAGTAATGCTGGTCCATAATGATATTGATAATTATGATGCTAATTGAACAATAATATCAATGATAATAGTAATAAGTATATCATAATAATGATAATAGAAGAAAAATTAACAGTGATGACAACGACAAATACAACAATAGTAATAATAATAATAAAGACAACTGATAATGTCAATAGCAAAATTATTAATAGTAATAGTAATAATGGTGATAATAATAATAATAATAATAACACAATGATAATAATCTTGATAATAAAAACAACAACAATGATAATAATATTAATGATAAAAGTAGTAGTAGTAGATGTAGTAGTAGTAAATAACAACAATAATAATAGTAATAATAATAATAATAATAATAATAATAATAATAATAATAATAACAATAATAATATTAATAATAATAATAATAATGATAATAATGATAATAATAATTACTATTATTCTAATTATTACTATGATAATAACAGCGAGAATAGTAACAGTAACAATAATGAGAATAACAAATGATGATAGAAATAGCAAAGTTCATAATGGTGATAATTCTGAATAAAGTGTTTTTATCGTTACTCTAGATACTTTTTTTCTCGTTGTCACTATCATTACTATCATTATTATCATTACCAAAGTTCTTTAGTTTTATTTAGTTACCATCATCATTATCATTAACATTATTATCATTTTTATTATTGTAATTCTGATTATTGTTATCAATAATATTGTCATTAATATTATCGTTATCATTTATGTATCAACCATAATATCGCTATCATAATTGTTACCATAATATCATTATCATTATCATTATTATTACTACTATTATTATCATTATATCACTATTATTATTGTCATTTTTATTATTACTGTTATTATCATCTTTATTATCATTATTATTATTATTACTATTATCATTATAATTATCCTCATTATTATTATCTATCATTACAATCACTGCAATTATTATCATTATCATAATTTTGAGAATCATCATTATTATCGTTACTAACACTATTATAATTATCATTATCCTCCTTATTATTACTATTCTAATTATTACCATGTCATAATATCACGAATATTGTTATTTTTTTACCATTAGCAATGTTATAACGCGTCTATACTGATGTTTTATTTATCGTATTATATTTTTTTAGATGTTGCTAAGTAAAAGATCTCCCAACGAAATTCGTAAACGGAACGAGATATGTATTTTTTTATAAATGACATGATCAAGCAGGTTTCTACTATTAAGTTGATATGCCTGATATATCAAGGATATTTTCAAATTGTAGGATCGGCTATCACTCTCCTTATAACGGATGCGATTTCAATTATCATAATCATTTATCTACGGCGCAAGGGGGCAATTAAAATGAATTAACGTATTGAAAGTATTGAAAAATAAAGAAAAACAAAATTTGACAAATATTTTCCAGGTCACACTTGAAGGGAAATCCAAGCCTATGGGTAAGAGACCAAACACTTGAGGCGCTGTAGAGAGAGGCGGTCGCGCACGAGAGAGAGAAAGAGAAAAGAAGAGAAAAGAGAGGGGGGAAGAGAGGAAAGGGGGGGGGGGGAGAGGAAAAGGGGTGGGGGAGAGGGAAAGGGGGAGAAAGAGGAAGGGGTGGGGAGGAAAAAGGGGGAGGGGGAGTATAGAAAGAGTGGAAAAGTAGGGAGGGGGGAGAGGGGGCTAGAGGCTGTTGACGGGGCAGCTGTCTGTCATGGGGCATCATGGGGAAGGGAGGGTAGAGGGGGGAGGGACGGGGGTTGGAGGGGTGAGCCACAATAGCTGCTAAGGTCTTTCTAGTTCTGGTTTGTCTCTTTCTTTCCCTTTTATCTTCCTCCCTCTACTTCTCCGTTCTATCTATTATCTATATTTATACATACTGATATATAGGCAGATATATGTATGTATGTGTGAGTGTGTGTGTGTGTGCATGTGCGTGTGCGTGTATGTGTGCGAGTATGTGTGCGTGTGCATATATATATCATTCGTTCGCTCGCTAGCTCTCTGTCTCCAGCTGTAATTATCATTAATCCTTCTATCAATAGAACGGTCAGGCAGTGATCGATGGCAGGACGGTCGCATCGGAAACCTTGTGGTAGCGACGAGAGCTAGAAATAATTACCTTGGCATCTAGGACAACATAGTTCAATGGCGATGTTTGCGGATATATAAGAACGTGATCTATCTATATTCTCTATAAGTCTATCTCTCTTTTTCTGTCTTTTTCGCTCTATTTTTTTCTCTCAGTCTCTTTCTTTTTTTCGTCACTTCTCTCAATCTCTTTTTCTCACTCTCTCTCTCTCTCTCTCTCTCTCTCTCTCTCTCTCTCTCTCTCTCTCTCTCTCTCTCTCTCTCTCTCTCTCTTTTTCTCTCTCTCTCTCTCTCTCTCTTTCAATCTTTCTCTCTCTCTCTCTCTCTTCTCTTCTCTCTCTCTCTCTCTCTCTCTCTCTCTCTCTCTCTCTCTCTCTCTCTCTCTCTCTCTCTCTCTCTCTCTCTCTCTCTCTCTCTCTCACACACACACACACACACACACACAAAGTTGAAAGCCGGCGAGGTGTCCATCCATGGGCCGCGTGTCAGAGCCTCGTGCCTTAGCGGTAAAGTGTCAAAGTTCTGCACTAAACACACGATCGTTTAGTGGTGGGCTGTCATTACCGTAACTTTATCGTAAACAATTCGTGTTTGACTTAGAGTCTTTACATTCCGTTAGAGAAAGATGAATACCGACTGAACAGGCAAGGTCCTTAGGATGCTATTTCCAGATTATTATTATTATTATTATTATTATTATTATTATTATTATTATTATTATTATTATTATATTATTATTATTATTATTATTATTATTATTATTATTATTATTATTATTATTATTATTATTATTATTATTATCATTACTATTATTACTTGTCAGCTGCACGTGGATTTTCTTTGTAAGAAAAGAGAATTTTTCGATTCGCTCTAAATTATTCAGATATGGTTAATTCCTTTTAATAAATTAGGTATCAACTGTATAATGTCATCTATATATATGAAACGGAATGATTTTTTTTTCTTTTAATATATCACATATCAATTTACACAAAGAAATAAAATAGAAATTCTAAAAAATGGATGTCCTTTTCTCTTTTCTTTCTTTTCGTTTTTTTGTTTTTTAATTCCAGAAAGGTTCGTTCCCATTAGCGACGACAGAGGAACATTTTAATAATTTTACGCTTTATTTTCTAATTCTCGAGTAATGATTATTGAGAGCGTTGCCATAAATGTTTCAGAAATATTAACTGTTCGTTCTCCCAATATGACGCTTATTTTGATAAATTCCTCATCTCAGGATACGGTAAGTGAATTAAGAAGTTAATTAAATAACTATAAAATGTACAAATGTGTATGTAAGTATAATTTGTGTGTGCGTGTGTGTGTGTGTGTGTGTG